ACTAGCGGATGCAATGGTAACTACAATAAAGCTTCAGATTTATCTTCATCAATACTCAAGCTGCAGGATTTGCTTTGAACACTGCTTTCCCAGAAGGGAGAGCTACATCACATGTGAAAAGTAACACAGAATCCCAGAATGGTTTGGGTTGGAACAGACCTTAAAGCCCAGCCTGTTCCACCCCCTGCCATGGACAAGGAGACCTTCCACTATCCCAGGTTGCTCCAAACCCTCTCCAGCCTGGCCTTGAGCACTTCCAGGGTCCTTCTGTCACTCCAAGTCTCTCTTTACCAAAGGCTATATGAGGATTAGCTTTGGTAGGAAATGCCAGTTAGAAGGCCCTTCAGAGCCAGCCAATATCCAGCTTTACATTCCTTCAAAGCAAAAATAGGGGGGGAAAAATTGACATACAAAATGGTGTTTTAGAAATATGTGAGCATGAATATTTTTATTAAAGCAACACAAACAACACACCTCGAGCTATTGAACTGCCCGAGGTAACACAACCTGGAAATAAGGCTGAGCTGCAGCGATGGCTGTGGGGGATATTCCTAACGGGAAGGGGAGCATGGTTCCCTTGGCTGGAGCAGCACCAGGCTCTGACTGGCCACACAGGACACCACACTGCCCTCAAGGATGAGGTGAGATGGGATTCTGCATTTGCAAGCAGGCTTTCTGTTTCAAAATAGTTCTGGAAAATCACAAGAGCTGGTAGCAAAAATTTCAGCTGCAGCTCTGAGAGAAACGCTGGGACCTGAGAAAAGTGCATGGAGCTACAACACTTCCAGATACCAACACAGAGGACATTCTCTAAAGCCTCGTGCTTCTCACCATCTGCTTTGCCTGGAGGAAATGGCCAAACAGAGAAAGCTCAAACAACACCTTAAGCCTTAAGGAATTTTACAGTGTTTGTAGGGTCTCTCCAGAGAATGTGTCCATATAATGTATTACTGAAGCTCTTGTGCCAAGTTTAGCCTGGTGTTGGATCTGACTCCTTATCAGGCTGAAATGTTGCCTTTAAAAAAAAAACAAACTAAAAACATCCAATATATTTGAGGATAGAATGACACTGCTAATGCTCATGTGAGCTGCCCAGTCAGCCAGCATTGCATTTAAGGGAGAATTTGGAACTGTGGCTACTGTCAGATGAATTGAGCAAAACAGGTGAATCCACACCTCTCTCATGGAGATAAAGCCAGATTTCCCCCCACCCCCAGTCATGTTTACAATCCCCAGGTTATCACACGAGAGCAGTGGAGATGAAGGTTAAAGGTTGCAGCCAGCAAACACCAGCCTTGCTGTGTAGATACATGGGGTTTGTGTACCAGGTGTGTTCTAGATAGGCATCACACCTTCCTTCTCACGTATTTAAGAAGCTCTTCTTCCCCCATAAGGTGCCCCAGCACTGTGCTTTTATTTGAAATCAAATCTAGACCAAACTAAACATAAAAGGGGAAAACTGGCCTTACCAAAAAATAGCTGTTTTTAGCCTTTTTTTCCCCTTTTCCTTATTTTTGTAAACGAGGCGCAGCGATGGTGAAGATACAGGAGCAGAGAACGGATGTCCACAGCTAAAGCTTTGTCACGTGCTGACCTGTGGCACGCTGGCAGCCCTGTGGCAGGCAGCCAGTGGTGAGACATCATCAGCTATTCATCGGGAGAAGGCTCAGATAAAGCAGTGCTGCCCAGCAGGTATCCTGGTGAATGCATTCCAGGAGCATCCCGCCATTAAAAAGCCAGGAGATGCCTTGGCAAATTCCCCTGGGGCCCTTTGGGGAGGCTGACATAGAATTTGCTGGCCAGAATTTTAGTGATCCACTCCACGGCTCTGCTCCAGAAGCCCAAGATGAATAGGGAGCTCTGGTGAACTTTGAAGCCTGCGGGTCAAAGTTCTCTCTCATTATCCCCAACCATTTTCTATCGGCAGAGCTCCTCAGCGTCCCAAGGGACGGGAAGGTTTGAGGCTCTTGAAAAAACCTGACACGACCAAGTCAGGACACAGTAGGGTGCTTATGTACACATATTTTTCTTCCCCCGTTTTCCTCTCCCCCCACTTTCTTGAAAAGAAAGGAGAGGGATTTCGCTATTGTGTCAAACATCAGCCTGGTGGCATCAGGAGCCACTCATGTAGCTGGCACAATGCTGTGCTCATTTCAGCACGCCGCCCTGCCCAACAGGCCTGACCCTCCCAGGGACACCTCCTCTGCAAGAAAGGGCCTCATTTGATTTTCCCTCCCCACCCCAAAACCTTTCATTCTGCAGGCAATGCTTTCAAGGAGGATGTCAGGGCTGGATCCTGCAGTACCTATTTTCTACATTAAAACCACTGCTTCGTGCCTGAGCTGCCAATGAATGCATCTGGCAGAGACAACTGATCCACCCGTGGCCAAACCCGGAGCAATATTTAACACAGTGCTCACTATCACACTATCAGCCACTAAACATTGCAATTTGCCCTTCAAACACAAGGCTCTGACTCAAACCACAGGCTGGACAGACAAAGTGATCCCCTGAATTTCCTTTTTCTGCCACCACTAGAGGCCAGCCCATCTTTCACTGCAATTAAAAATTCACTCCAGAATTAAAAAGGCAACATTTTGATTAATTAAAATGATCTGCACATTTGAAACTACTCAAATCTGATTAAAGCTAGGCTTTGCACAAGTTTAGGAAACTGAATTTAGATGGCTAACAAAAGCTCTTTTCTTCACTGCTGCTTAATGGGAAACTTGATAGGAATAAGGCCCTGATTTTTCAAAACAATGCAAGAAATTATCCCAGACAGCAATGCAAGCACAACATTAAAAATTAATTGCTTCATTGTGAAAAAAAGGAACAAAGTATAACTGACAAAAACCATCAAAACCAAACCAGAAACACAGTATCAGAGCTCTGTTTGGGGGAAGACCCTCTCACCTGGCAATCCCCAAGAAGAAATTGTGACACTCCTGACAACAAAGTTTAGTACAAAGTGTACTGGGAGTGTGACTGAAACTATTTGTGCTTCCCTCACACACCCCTCTGATCCATGCAGGGAGGAAACAGCAACACCGAGCCCAGCACCTGCTTCATGGGGTGGGGAGGCATGGTGGAGGACAGAGGGAAACAATTACAGGCTGGGTAATTACTTCTTCTTTAAATGGATTCTCTCTAATCTCCAATGGATTTACCTCTAATCTCAAAGTAATTACGTATAACCTCAGTGGATTCTCACTCTGGGGGAGATGCTGCAGCTCCGGGGGAGCCTGCAGAGGAGAAGTTTCTCCATTGTCTGCCAGAGCAATGAAAAACTCACACATGCACGGCCCTGCCAGGAACAATGGAGGTTTTTGCAGCAGCCAGGAAGGGGCCAGGGCACACACAACAGCCCCCTCCTCGCTTGATGACTGGCACAATCGAAAGCACACTCAGGTGGCAGCTCCACGGGGCACGCACAATCCACGCTTCCCTTCTGGGAGCAGTGCCAACACACACATTTGGGTGTTTCAGGGCTACTTCACAGCAGAATTAGTCACATTTAGAGGCACTAAAAGTGACCAAATTGGGCAGAAAGACGTGAACTACATCACACAAAGGAGCAGTGAAAACCCTGCTCCAGAACACAAGGGCTGAGGGACAAGGTTTCTGATGGGAAGCAGCAATGCCTTGAAGCTACTTGTCATCTAATTTACCACATCATTTTTAAGAGACATGGACATCACATCAGAAACCAGAGCAAAGCATCATTATGGCAGGATCTGAGACCATAAAATCTTGTGTCAAGGCAGGGAAAAAGTGCTCATATTCCACAGACATGGAACAGCAAGTGGGGGCAAGCACAGCATCAGTGTGGCCAGACATGGATGTGGCACTTGGGGACGTAGTTTAGTGCTGGACTATAGCTGGGTTGGATGATCTTAGAGTGCTTTCCAGCCTTAATGATTCTAGGGTTCCATGCTCCTCAGACATCAGCCATCTAAAGCAGAACTTTCCTGCCAGTTCCAGGTGCAGGTCTATAAACGCCAGAATTTATAGAAAATGCATCAAAACCTTGATATTCACTCCTTAATGTAAAAGTGCCCGGGAGCTCAAGATGTTACCAAAAGGTTTGGTCAAACAACTGACCCTAAAAACATTGCAAGTGGCAACCCTCTGACTTGGATATGTGGGATGATGATAAAATACAAGATCAGATATCATATAAAACCACACACACGCACACACACACACATATATATATATATATATATATATACACATATATAATATAAATAGACATATATTTTACATATATACAAATAAAATATATACATACATATTTATATATATATATATATATATATTTATATATGTAGATAGCTATTTCTATAAGTCTATATATTTCATATCCTCTCTCTCTCTTTTAATATATATCTATAATATATATTTTACCTTGGTGAGGGTCACACCATGATTCTTAGGGTGAACTAGTCCTGAGTGGGATCTCTGTGCTCCTTCTACTCCCAAATCCATACTAGGAGTTGTGCCACACAGTCTGAGGGACAGACAGCATCCTTGGGACAAGGATAGATGCCTCAACATGGAAAAGTTATATGGGACATATTTTAATGGCTATGCCATTTCCAAAAAGCTGCTCAGAAATACTCCTGAATAAACCACAAGCCCTGTACACTGAAAAAGACCTCTCCTCACTCTTTACTACTTCTAGGAAACTTTTTATTGTAAAAGACTTGGTTTTTAACCCTGGAATCAACAACAAGTCCATAAAAGAATGAGCAGAAAAAAAAGCCCTAAACAGTTCCAGGAGCCTCTTGGGATGCCAGGAAGCCCCAGTTCCAGCAGAGTCAGAGGAACTGCAGTGCACTCAGACTTGCAGCAGGGAGTTTCACTTCAGGTGATGATTCTTTGAGAGGGAAGGGAATGCAGAAAGAGGAAGAAGCTCTTTCAGCACAGTGGTCTCACCAAAGCCATGCCTGAGCCTCTTGTCAGGGCTGGGTGTTCCCAGAGCAGGCAGTACTCACATGCAGGCTGGGATGGTAGGTCAGCACGCCGTTGTCACACAGTGTCACATATTTCTTCTTCCACTCCTTGTTCAGGGACTTGCCACTCCGCTTTAGCAGCATCCCCTGGTGGGGGAGAGAGAGAGAAAAGCTGAAACGACCACACAGACAACACACAACTGCCTAAGACACAGACAGAGGGAAGAGAATTGCCTTTCCAGACGAGCATTTCCAGACAGGCTTTCTCCTGCAAGTGACACTCTTTCCCCTGCCTCTCCCAGAATGCACATTCCCTCCACTGGCTTTGTCCAATGGGTAGAAAAACCCTCTTTTTCCTTGAATGCTATGCCTCAGAAAAACACATTTTAGTGCGACCCACATGGGTTCCTAGCTGATGAAGACACCATGCTGTGCATTTCCTTGCCTTCTAAAATAAGTGATGAGCCCCAGGTGGAGGGAAGATCCTGCTGTGTGGCCTCTCCCTCCAGCATGCTCCTGGGGATTCCCTGCCCACAGAAGAGCACACATCTGTGTTCTCATTCACATCTGTGTTCTCATTCCCTCTGCACAAAGGTGACACCACCATGAAAACCTCTCTTGGCTAATTCCTTCCAGCAAAAGGAACCCCAATCCCAGGCAAGAGTAGCAAAACAAAACCAGAGCAAATACTAAGTGTTTCACGTAAATCCTAGATAATTTAATGAGAGAGGTGTGACTGGAGAAGAAAGGAGGTGGGCAAAGTGAATCACCTTCCCACCATATTCAATCAGGGATGAATTACATTGATCACAGAATCCCAGAATGGTTTGGGTTGGAAGGGACATTAAATCCAGTTCCACCCCCAGCCATGCACAGGGACACCTTCCACTGGACCAGGTGGCTCCAAGCCCTGTCCAAACTGTCCTGGAACACTTCCAGGAATGGGGCAGCCACAACAGCAAAGATAAAAAGTCATCATTGTGTTCCAACAGATAGACAGGAACTGCTACTGTACATTGACTTGTTCTCAGCTACAAAATCAAAATTCACTTTGAAAAATAAAATACCACATGCTGTAGAACACTCCGGGTAGTAAATGAAGAATATACTTCCTTAGGAAATTTTAATTTCCAAACCCAAGCCAGAAGGCAGCTCCTAATGGATCCAGACAGTATTATGGTTGTGCAAAGCCTTAGTGGAATGTCCAGTGGAGATCCTATGCTCAGTACCTACCACAGGGACACAGTGACTGGTGTCACAAATTAAGCTCTGATCAAAGTGGATACATATCCATTTCAATAAATCACAACTAGGAATCCACCCAACATGAATTTCAGCTCCCTAATCCCTATAAAACAAGTTTTCCCCTTCTCATCATACAAGGCAATTAAAATAAAGGGAAAACAGAACATAGAAAGATGCCCTAGCAAGCACAGTGCTTCCAACTCCCATGGAGTTCTTGTTAAAAGTGGTTTAAACCTAGAAAATTAGTTCCACTGGTTGTTTTCCCATTAAACCTGCAGCTTTATGAAGTGATCCCTCTGCAGACCCTATCCCAAAGCCAGGAGGGAACGTGGGTCAGCTCCACTCAAGTAGAAGTTCTGCTCCTGGCCACGCAGCTGGAATAGAACTTCAGATAAGAACCCTTCCCAACACACTCCACGGATGGGGCCATGAAGAAAAGCTCCTGCTGGATACCTGAATAGCACAGTTATCCAAACTCACAACTTTATGCCTTTCTGCAGGTCACATGTCTGTATTTTTTTGTTCTCCTCCTTGCTAGAACTCCAACTTTTTCAAGGAGAACGGGGCTTCTGAAATGCCTCCTCACAAAAGCTCCTGCTCAGCCCAATTACTGTCTGCCAGCACTTGGAGACGTTGTTTTCTTCTATTAAAAAATGAAAGCTTATTTCTGCCTTTGACTCTCCTGTTTGTCTATAGGAGGTGATCTGTCTCTTCACCTTTCCCATCTTTCATACCTCACCTGCAGCACAGCACTGGTGTTTAGGGGGACCCAATTCTAGTTAGTGCTGTGTCGTGGGGATCAAAAATTACTGTTTCCCTGCACTGGTTTGTTCTTCAGACCTTCTAATGGGGAAAAAGCAGTAAAGATCACAATGGGAATTTTTTTTCCCTTTGCCATTTTTTTTCAAGTTTTGAAGCCAGTAAAATGTACATATTTCATAACCTTTTAACTGCTCCTTTGCTATAGAGAAAACATGTCATTACTTAGGTAATTTTCAATTTGTGTCAATTATAATCTCAATAAAGAGTAAAAATCTATCACGGTCGTGATTTTTACTACTTAAAGTTTTGCTACTATCTAAGTATGAATGATGACATTCTAGTTTTGGATCTAAATTGAGAAAATTATTCAAAATGAGGTTTTACCATGTTTTTAAAGCAGAACTCTGTGCTTTAATGTAAAAAACAAACAAACAAACAAACAAAAACCAGCCCACCCAGCTCAGAACTGAATACGGATGATGGACCTATTTGTGCCTAACTAACAAACTAGACTTCCTAATCCATATTCTTCAGGCATTCCTTCGGCAAACAGAATCATTTTCACATTATGTGATAATTAAAAGTATCTTGGAGTACCTGAAGAGCAAACTGCTGTGAATACAAGGGGCTAACTTAAAGTGCTATAAAGCAAAGCAGCCCATATAAACCACAGCTTTTATCCCCAAGGCCACCACTCTGTGGTAATTTTATAGAATGGTCTGGAGAAATGGTCTTAGAATCAGAGTTTAGATCAGTTATAAATGCACTTTAATGTTAGCTATAAGTAAAAAAAAAAAAAAAAAAAAGGTCCACATGAAAGGAAATGTTATTTAAAAGAAATTAAAAAAAAAAGCCCCTTGCTTCAGTCACATCACGGCTACATTTGAGTCACATCAAATCCTGTGCTGAGGAAATGAGATCCAGGGGTTCCTGCTGACCCCTGGTACCTCCAAGGCAATTCAGAGGCAGCTCGGGCACAACCTCAGTCACTGCCAAACAGGTCCCCACACACACACAGCACACTGGAAAAATCCCATTGAGTTCCCAAGCTATGCATTAAGAGCCCACATAAATCTTTTACTCCAAATACCAATTCTTTTGGTCTAAATAATCCCTGCCTCAAATAATTGTTAATTGGATGATGCTATTTCCCCTAATTTGTATGAAATCTTTAATTTCTCACAGCCCTCCATGGGCAGTTGTGGGTGCAGCTCCAAAGCCTCCAGACCAAACACGAAGAATTTAACACCTCTGATTTCCACACAAACAGAGCAGAACTTCACACCTCAAATAGATTTTTTTTTTTTTTACCACCTTCCCTCCAAAACTGCAACTCTGTGTTTAAGGGAGGAATGGTGAATCCTCCAGCTTGTGTTTTGAAGGAGCTGGAGGAAAAAGGCTGCAAGTGGAGTGCATGGAGCTCAGTCCCTGGGTTTTGCTGGAGGATCCAGGGAGCGAACAGAGCTGGCTCTCCATTAGTAATGTGCGTGCTACGTCTACTCCCAGGAGGTCATTGCAAGCCAAAAGCAATGTTAAGTGTACAAGCTTTAAATAACTTACAAAGTTAATGTAATGAATGCAAGTGTGATCTGAAATCCATCACTCAGTGGCTTGCTGTAGCCTCAAGCTGTGATAAAACACCACTCATAAATTTATATTAAAACTCTGTTCGATAGCAATTATTTACCAACAAAGATTTATTGATTGCATTTGCTGTTAGGGACTGGGGCCCTAACTGAGTCAATCAGCTTAGGCTGCTGAGCTCCAGGGCACCTGGGGAAGTTACAGACTGCCAGCAGGCTCTGCAGTCCCACCATTACCGTGGGAGCAGGAGCAGCTAATGAAAAGCCGCCAGCATCGGATTGATTGGAGCCAAGGTGGAAAGAAAACAACACACCCAGCACTGGTGAAGGGACCAGGGCATCTACTACACCCAGTTCACCTGAATACACAGCAACCAGCAAAAATCTGGCTGCTCTGGGTGCCTTCTGTGAGCTCAAAACCTTGCCTGCTTAAGTAACAACTCAGTGACAAAAAAATCACCGATTTGTTCTAGAGAAATATTTTAGGTTTTAAATAGCAAATTATCAGCATTTCAGAAAGTGACCCCTTGGTTAATGCTGCACTGAAGATGCTGGCAGGTGAGAAGCCTTAAAAATGGTCTTTGAAGTCAGCAGAGCCAAGATTGGACCTTCTGGAAAAGGAAATATGGTACCTATAATTATGGCAGAAGTTGGAACCAGATGAGCTTCAAGATCCCATCCAACCAAAATCATTCCATGATTCCACTTTGGTTTCTGTTTTCTTTCAGAAATTTACCCCACTGCCATGGCTCAGGTGCAAACTTCTGCCAGCCTTTTGTTTCTCCCCCTTCCTAATTTTTAGCTGAGCCCATATTGTTTACCTGATGTTGTTCTGACAGAATGAAACAGGTAATGTCACACTTCATCATTAAGAACATAAATTCCTATTTTTCCACTCAGGTCTGTAGCTCCCACAGCCATGATCAGCAGCTAACACTGCTGGGAATTTTCTACACCTCCTGTGGATCCTGCTCAGAAAAGAAAAACTCTCAGTCATGAGAAACCTCCTCCTTCAAATAACTCTGAAGGCAGCCACTCAGTCAGGATCACAGACTAATTGTTACATACAAATTCTGGTCAATAAAACACCCACTTCCTGTAAATCTATTAATGTGTAGAACAAATGCTGGTGAAACCCCCAGGATTCAATGACCAGCCAGCTCTGCACTGTCTGTCCAACAGCATTGAGGCCACCTGACAGTAAAAAAGAGATTAATTTTTCAGTTATATTTTTTTTCCTCCAGAAGATTTAGTTGTAACAGGTTTCTGGTGTTGAAGTCCATTCTTCCAGCATATGGCACATACCAGCTCAAACTGTTTCACCTCCAAACAATAGCTGCATGCCATGAGAAGCTTTTGGTAATGACTGACTCATTGATACACAGAGAGTCAGAGAACCCCAGAATGGTTTGGGTTGGAAGCTCACTTCATTCCCTCTCCTATCATGGGCAAGGACACCTTCACCTAGACCATGTTGTTCTCTCTTTAAACCTAAAATCCTCTAGGAAATGAACTGTTGAAGATTCCCAATGTATGGGGAATCCTTCCATAAGAAAG